TAAATCTTCCTCCAAGAAAACCTTGAACATATATGTCAATCTATAATTACAAAGCAACCGTGGAAACTGTCACGTAGACAAGGTTATGTGCTTCAGCCGATCAGGAAGCGGACAGACATGAGCGATAAAATCGTTGTATATTTATAGGACGTTTACAAATAACACAAGGGTAAAATGATGATTGAAATTGAACAGACTTTTGAAAGTCCCGCGGATAAAATAAAAATAATTTGAAAATATCGCCAACTTTGCATGGATTCTTTATACATGTATATATATTTTGATCAAATTTGATATTTGAAAATCAGATAATTACTTTACAGTCTCTTTTGAAATGTGAAATAAACATCCATTGAATACATACAGAGAAAATATGTCGCAAACCCTACACAATACAGAAAATGACAGTATGATAACATAATGTCATTAAAAATCTGAAGTTTAAAAAAAACAACAACTTGACAAGTTATAGGGACTGCAGCTTCACAAACATAGTTTATACTTTCACTTATTCAAATAAGACATATTCAGGATGAATTTACTACATTTCATTAAATTTCTGAATCTGCAATAAAAATTATTTACCCAAAGATGAGCATAATATATATTTTATATTATGTCTCATAACCATAGTGTGGGGACGCAGTTTTATTCAGAACTTGTCCGAATCAGTTCACCTCCGTAATAACTGTTTTCAATGTTACTTTAAAAAGGTAAAAAAGTGTCAAAAAGGATGTTTATAATAAGGTGTCGCCAATTATGACTAGCTACATATTTGTAATGTCGTCGGCGTGTAACAAAAATTATTTCTTACAACCCACACCGAATACTACACGTAAAATCCTGCTTGTCTATTAAGAGACAGTTATACGTTTCACCATAAATGCATTACAAGTCATTGCAAAAGTTGAGCAAAGTTGAGCAAAGTTGAGCAAAGTTGAGCAAATCTTTACATGTCGTAATTTGTCTACAATATCAAACGAATTTAACAATTTTCGTTTACTTTTTAAATGTGGAGCTCTGTTTAAGCCGGTGCAGAAGGCGATAGGGCATTGCATGTACCACTACCTTACAATAGCTGGCTCTGTCAAAAATTAGTTCGTCTGCTTAAATATCATACCTGCGCAACATTCGTGTTTGCACTGCATGTTTCACGATATATTTTGAGCATATGATGTAGATATGTCACGGATATAGTTTTGTAAATTCGATCTATCAAATGTGAATTTACATGTAATACTGTTCACTTGACCTCTATGGCAGCAAGACATTTCAAAATCAGACAGATTTACCCGGATAACTTTGATTTAGATCAATGACAATATTTTCCATGCATATGTTTGGTTGAAAATTCCATGAAATATAATCTATTAATGTAATTAAATATATCTTTAGAGCCTTTGTTAATTTGGGAAACATCGTCGATGTTTACAGACACTTCAACCCAAGACAACTTACACCCAGGCAATTCACACAAAGGCATATTATATAGAGGATATTTGTTTGTTTGTGTGTAAGATGAAATTTTATTTCATCGAGTGGGCATACACATCTTACATAACAAACAAACAAATTTTCTTTTTATTTTATGCTGAAAAACAAGTTAAAACGAAATTTCTTTAATATTTACGTTAATATTAAAATCTGTTTTCCCCATTGAGAGCCTCATTTTAGTCGAAGGTCTCATTAAATACAAGAAGTCTTGTGCTGAAAAATAAGTTCCACAATCAACGTTAAATGGCGGTGATATTATTCATTTTATTAAAAAGAAATATGAATTATCGCTTGTTTTAATCTTACAAACAACTCTAGTAGGAGGAAAAGTCCAACCATCCATCCGTATTTTTCTGTTACTTACCGCGAATTTATATTAGACCTGACTTTGTTGAATGTAAACGTCTGCTATTTTTAGAATTTGTGTATTTCACGGGAGGAAAATAATTGTGTTTGATTCAGAGAGATATCATTTGGATTTGTTAGTCATACACCTTTTTAAAAGAAAGAAAACTTATTTGAGGATTGTAACAGACAATAAATAAGTGTTGACAGAAGTGAAAACTTAAAACAACTGCTAGGAAAATGGAAGTGAAAGGCTGCATAACGAACGCTGGGTTGTTTACATTAGGCCAAAAAAAAATATGTCTGGTTCAGGAAACATTGGTCCAAAAAATTAGGAGGTAAGGGATTTTTTTTTTGTTGGGAGAATCTCTTATCAGTATAAGATGTGTTGCTAGCTTAACATACTTAAACAAAGATTGTAATCAATCAATGCAAGCACCATTTTGTAATAAACTATCAGCATGCGATATTGTGTTGTTTATTTCTTGTATGTAGTCATTTAACCATGTAGCACCTGTATTCATACTAATTTGCTTTCTATTCTGCTTATTATGTACCCTTTCCCTTTGAATCACCCGCTGTACTATGCTAATAACCTGCATCTGACAGGTCTGACAATTAAAAGATCAAGGGTCACCTCTGTAACAAGTTAATAATGATGCTGTATTATAAGCTTAGAGCATCTGACATGCACTATTCCAGGGACCAAAATAACACAACATATTTAAATGGTCTTCAGGGGGCGCAAGTCTATAGATATATAATTATGTGCAACTGGTGCCAACAGTTGCAGGGTTCTCACAAAGAAGGAGTCTTGGGACTCCCAAGCACAAAAAAGTAGGAGTTCCAGATCACATTGAATATGTTAAGCCATCTTTGCTGCACTTATATGCAGTCGACAAATATAATGTATAGCAGAGTAAGGGGTTGGGGATCGAGTCAGAGTTTGAACGGAGAAAAAGCTTATTCAGGAAAATGGTAATATGCCCCAAATGGAAAACACTGTACCATAAAAGTGATTGAAAAGATTTGAAATATAATTCCAAAAACATACATCATCAGACCATTATGCTGTTTTCTTAAACCCCCTCCCTTAAAAAAGAAAATAGTCATTGTATGTAACAAACACATACTGATAATGGCTCCATCTCAACTAATGTAAACAATATTTTTAGTAAATTTAATTTAAAGTGTTGTTTCACACATTTTAACAAAACATATCTCCCTTTTGGTTACGATTTTTTTAATTCATAAAAAAGCGACATCGCGAAAATATGTGACAATTGAAAATGTGTCTGTTTCCTGCAGAAACATTCACAATTCTACTTGTTGATGATTTTGATCATATATGATTAAATATTTTTTGATTATTTTAAGAATGTTACTCATCGGCTATTTCAACAGGCATCGTAAAACAAAATTTTCACATTTGTAATTTTCGTACCCAAAAATTTTCGTACCGAAAATCAAAAAAAAAGTTTAGGGTCGGCCTTAAAAAAATAGGGTCGGTCGGGTTCCCTGAACCAGACATATTTTTTATTTTGGCCTTTTTCTACGGGCTGATCGCTGTCATTTTCAAGTTTTCAGAAAGCATACGGCAGTTATTGCTCGTAGGATACTTAAATACGCCCAAATGTCATCAAGAGCAGTTTTGCATGTGGAAGGAGTGTATTTTTCAGACTGTAAAAATGTAACAAAAAAAAATAAATAAGAGACGATATTTGGTGATTTGTTATTTGAATGAATAGAAGTAAGTTTTCTTTTTGTATTACTTTGACATTTAAGTTATTTATCAATTTCAGCTTTGCTTTTCTCTGAACAGCCTGACATTGTCAGAATTGTCAGCAAAAATAAAAGTGAGGTACCACATGGGGAAAATCTTAAGAAAGTAGTTTCGTCATTGAAAACTGTGAAATTATATTTTGATAATTTTCACTGTGAAATTATCAAATATAATTTTCACGGATAAATCAGTAATCCACTGAAGAGCATAAAATGAATTGTTATTTTTAAAAAAATGGATCGGGTGAAGGGAGTTAAATGTCTTGAGGGGTGAAGCGTTTACAAAAAAAAATTGGTTGTAGAGTCTAGTGTTAAACTGTCTTGTTCTCTCGCGATGTAAGTAAAGTCTTTGCTATGTTAAATATTGTGCAGGTGTTTCTATCTAATTGTTATGTTAACTTTAATATATCTTATCGTTTCGGTCAAGTCGCTAATAAGGGACCATAATTTACCAGTGAAACAACACTACAATACCGTGATATATGTCTATAGATATGTTTTTCTATTTCAATAATTAAAACCAATGGTATTCCTATTTATGAACCATATGGTATAACATTTTAGCTAAACGGTCTACCACTGATATATCTTCGACTTTTTACCAATGGTTCTGGTCAAAAAGGCTAGACTTTAAAAGCGTAAAATTGTGTCATAATAATGGCTTCCATCATTCTCTTCGTTGCATAATGTAGCCAATGACCAACAAAATAATACAGAATCCAAGAACAGTTATAACGGAAAAAACCTTAAATAATCCTATATCATTTAACCCTTCGCTATTTATTACCCAAAGCCATTCAAATTAGTAAGTACACCCGGGCAGTTTGATCAGGCTTTATCACAGTTTTTTTTTATCACGCGACTTTGTGATCTGCGTGGACAGAAAACCACTACCAAAGACGGTCAAGATTTTATTTTCTGTTATAACTTTTTAACATTTCACAATTTTTATGGGATAAAGTGTAGAGCCCACTCATTTTAGTGAGGAGCCCAAACCTAGAATGTCTCAAAAGAACACGTGACATTATCATAGGAAATAATTGTAGCAAAAGAAAGCATCTACAGTCTATTTTTTCTGTTTTACTTTAAATTATGCGAAGTTACACACACTTATTTGCAAAGTTCACATTCAATACAAATATTGTCGTAATTCAATATCTAGGGGTTATAGCCCAGGTATTATACGGTACACTTTGACATGTTACATTATGTTTGTATACATGAGTCAATATATATATATTTGATAATGTTTTACGTTGGTTAGCCTAATAAGTTTTTCCGATGAAAAATAATTTTGCACAAATTATAGCCAAGTTAAAGACTAAACGAAATCACCTTAATATTCAAATATTTGTACAACACAATAAAAGATAAAATATTGACTTCGCCAGTTCTTTTTTTAAAATCATTCATTCACACTCATTGGAGATAAGTTTAGCAATTCTCCAACACAAAGGATTGTACATTTTTGTGTTTCCTTTGGGACAACTCCCTGAATCGCATTCAAATATTTGCCAATTTCCTGCTACCCGAACTACAGAGCACATAATAACAGCTTGACAACTTAGTGCATGTGTAAATGTAGTCCCGCACAAATCTGCGTCTGGTGAAGAAGCATCGTAGAACTGTAGTCTGGGATTTTTGAAGTTTTCTAGAGTGGCTGCTTTCCATGAACTTAATGTGAAATAAAGATGTGACACGTTTGTAGGTAGTTTCTTGAGGTAAACATGAATTTCTTGACGCCCAATACGACCATCAGGGGTTTTCTCATTTTTCGCGGAGTGAACTACGGCACCTTTATAAAATATTCAAAACATACAATGATGTGACGTACTTATTTCATTGAATATAACCTTCATATTTGCCGTCATTTATATGACTAAGTTTGTTTAACTATGATTTACTTGCTTAATTATATGTTGTTGCTTAAAATGTGCGACAGCTGCAAAAGATCAATTAAACAAGTTATACATATTTTTCCCATTACTTTGTTTTTTTTCTCTGCTATTAAGGTTGTCCAAACTAAATGTATTTGATATTGCTCAAAGAAAAACATAACTTGCCTTTCAGATAATACTGGTTGTCTGAGTGGTTCCAATCTATGACAGAAATAAATTCATTTTTGTCGAAAGCGAAACATGATGCATCCAGAAAATCAGCATTGTGAGCTGGAAACTCCCAAGACAAGTCGAACACAACATGGTCAAGATTGTCAGGAATGCAGTAAAGTGGTATGATTAAGTTGATAGTGTCGTTCACATCAATACCATAATCTCTCAATCGAAATGGTTGTCCAGGGGCCTTGTTTTTCTAATGAGAAATTCATAATATTTAGACAACAAAAACAAGTGGATTGATTCTGTATCAGAAATAACATGCATTAAATTGTTTATAATGATGATAAATGATACTTTATATACATACATAAATGATATTCAAGTTGATATTCAATATGATAATTTTCATATCACAATGTGAAAATAAATCCTGTTTTTAAAAAAACTTAAATTAATGTCTATTATATACCTTTTCTCCTGTTTTTGGCCTTACAATTCTTAAGACGTCTACTTTAATGTTTTGTTTTGGCTGAATTAACAAAAATTTAGTATCATCCTGCTTCAGTAGATAAATTGTAAAAGCCTTGATACCTTCATGTGTTTGTCTTTAAAAAGAAGCTTTTGTTTGGGTTCTTTAATCCCCAGCTCTTGCTCAATCTTTTCCCTTAGTTCCATTATGGTCATGCTACTATCAAAATCAACCCAACAAGTATCACCAGTTACAGATGTTACTGTAATAACTCGTCCCTTTTCTGCCAACATCGCCTTCCGATTCTCATCATACACTTTTGCATAATCCTGAAACATCTTAATGAGTGTGGCTTCACATATTTTCAATTGCAGAGTTGACTGTTCATCCTCAAATGTGACATCACAATTAGCATCTGGACATGTAAGGCTTCTTTCTACATGTTTCACAATACACTTGGTAAAAAAGCGGAATAACCATATTAATATATACGTATATATAATATACATCTATTGACAACTAAACTCAAATAACTACAACTTATCTGCTATATTTCAGACTCGTTAAGTTTCGAAATATGGTAAGCATAAATGACACACAGAAGTAGAAATCAGCTTCAGTTATTTGGATTAATTAAACCATAAACCTCTCATTGTCCGTGTGCCGGAAAATATATTTGTAAAAACTGTGATTATAAGAAACTTGATTCTTTTCTTCCCGGTAATATATTTACCCGCAAGCACACTCCCGGATTATGCTCGCACTTATCTGATATAGGGATGGAAGGAAATTCATTCGGTGGTTTCCATTTCTTGCATTTTGAACAATCCATTCCTTTTACAAGAATAATAAAGTTAATTATACATGTATATACAATAACTTTTCTATTCACTTTATTCCAAATAAATTGTAGGAAGCGGAAGGAAACATTGAAAATCTAATTTGTGTTCTTCAATACATACATCTATAGCAAAATGTATCAAAACGTTCTAAAATCTTTATTCCAAATGTTGCCATGACATCTTGAATAGTTTAGGAAACATATTTCTCTCGATTTTTCATTTGCATGAAATAAACTGCTTCAGAACGTAAGTTAAATGAATTTTTATAAAACAATTTAAACTACATATCACATTGCAATTATAATGATACTATTTTTAATGTGTGAACATACGCATATCATTGTCCTCATTTTCTTCGTCCGAATTCTCGTTGAAGTCTTCATCTTCGATAGGTGATGATGGTCTTTGACGTGATGATATAGTTGTAGTACCGGCCACAAGCGACTAGAATAATTATCTCTTATTTCATACATAGACTCAATAAAGAAGTCATATATTGCATTATACCTACCAATTTTATCGATAGCCTTAGAAAAAAATAATACAACTTAATAAAAAAACATACACTTTAAAAAAAAATGATGAGTTGTGTACTCGAAAACTTTTGATAATCCATTTATTCATAGAAGCAGAAAAGTTGCAAGAAAAAGCATTACGAACTCGTTACTGCCACCAGCCATCGGAAACACTTTCTCCCTCCCCCCCCAAAAAAAAACCAAAAAAAAAAAAAAAACAAACAAACAAAAAAACAACAACAAAACAAACCAAACAAGTGTTCATAATAAAAAAAGGTTACAACCTATACTACAATATAACATCTAGAATACAACACATATAAAACAGACAAATTATCAAAGGACTGTACTATTTAGAATTATATTGACATAAAACAACATAAGTAGAAAATAGAATATTAAGTCTCAGGTTATTATGGTCCAATCCTGGACGAAATCACATCTACCAATTCTCGTTGAAAATATCTTAAAATAATACCCACACTTTCAAGTCCAGCTTCTCTAAAACATATATTCATCAAGACTTTCTTAACTTCATCAAAATCACTCAATGGTAGGTAATATCCGAAGGTCTTTGCAGCTATGTGTTGATAGAAATTCTCAGACTCAGATCTCGACAAGCAATGCACAGCATATATCTTTATTCCCTGAAATAAATAATGTTATCATCCTATTGTAGCGTCAAAGTGTTAGAAAACTATTTCAAGCATACGTTTTGGTCAAAATCTTTTTAGATAATGAAAATATAATATTCTTCAGTCTCTTAATTTATCATATAGAGTAAATGTGATTTCATATCCACATAACCTTGATCGCCAAGTGTTTAAAATTATATACATTATGCATCTAAGTATTTATGATTTATATCTGTCCTTTTACTACTTTTCTCGATTAATTTGCACAAGTAATCGTTATTTTTTTGCACAATTCATGCATTTTTCAACATTCCTGTACTACAGGACACATACGGTAATTAAATGAGTTTCGTAACTAAGCAAATTTTACTTTGTATAGAGAACAATATAACAAAAACAAGTCGGTAAATTAGCGTCGGTATGTGATTTCCGAGACCGCTTTAACAAAAGAGCCCTTAGGTAAATACTATGCAGACTTATAATCATGTTACCTTCATGCTCTTTTGTTTTCTAACTTAACATCAGTTTTTAACTCGGCATTTATTATTCCAAAGCCACTCAAAGAGTCCAACCGCTAGGCTCTTGTAGATTATTAGTGCATCAGTGAGGAGTTATTTGAAAATTCTTGTTTTCTTCCCCGTGGGGTTTAGATAAACGAAATTTGCCAAGAATCTCCTTCAAGTTCTTGACATTAAAAGGGCACGATAAGCGCAATGTTATGTTATATAGAGGTTAATACGTGGTTGCTGCTCGCCATTATGTGATAATGGCTCGAAGATGCGCATAATGGCCTGAGAGCCGCAGGCCCGAAGGACATTATAAACTTGAGGGCCATTATCGCATAATGGCGAGCAAAAGCCAAGTATTAATAACTTCTTTAATATCTTTGTCCGAAATACGGCGTTTAGACATCGCCGCTAATCTTGGGATTTAACTCAGTACAGGATTGGAGCAGTACCTCTAGACGCTTGCAGAAATCATGATCACAAAATAGACAAATATCGTTTTTTTCGCCGATTTTTACATTTTTATTCATTATCATACATAAATCGGTGTGAAAAGATGAATTAGACCCATTAAAGTTCATTCCGTTGGGTAAAAAGGCAAGATTTTAGCATTTTATGATTCAAGCGCCTTGCCCGGTATATACCGGAATACGGTATTTCGTATGGTGCTCTAATCCTTTTTGGGGCAGGGGACATATTCGAATGAATAACCCGGTCAAATTTTTTGATAACTCAGACGTGGTGTTTTGAAGGTACTGGAAACTTCTGATATTTCTCTGTCATTGTAATTCTTTTTTGTTTGTGTGTAAGAAATGAGCAGTATTTTTGGGTTTTTACCCGAAACTAAGCATTTTGGTAGCTTTGTATGTATTTGTGACTCTCTGAATGGAGGTGAAAAAGTTAAAAATCAAGCTTTGACAGTTGGCGCCAAACAAGTAAGAAATTTCGGATACATTTTGTGAAAAATCTAAACGTATGACAGACACTTTATTGATCATTTTTGAAAATGCCATAGCTTGCACTGCGTGTTAGTGATATCTTTAAAGGAATCGGGCGGATTCTGGAGTATGCTGCACCTTCATGAAAATTGCCCATATTGGTATATTTTAGGTGTGATTGTGGCTGGGTAGGGGTAAATATAAATTGCTGTCAGTCATTTTTTAAGGAGCAATGCATGCAAAGTATTATTTTCTTCAATGTATGTCATATATCATTGAATAATGCTGTGCAACTGGTTATCTGCTTGTGAAACAGATTTTAAAATATTTGGAATTGTGTTTCTGGCCACACTGAAATACAAAATTGTTCATTTTTAGGTCCCCTGTCCCCTTTGGATTTAACTCAATACAGGATTGAAGCAGTACCTCTAGACGCTTGCAGAAATCATGATCACAAAATAGACAAATATCGTTTTTTTTTTTCGCCGATTTTTACATTTTTCATTCATTATCATACATAAAGCGGTGTGAAAAGATGAATTAGACCTATTAAAGTTCATTTCGTTGGGTTAAAGGCAATATTTTAGCATTTTATGATTCAAGCGCCTTGCCCGGTATATACCGGAATACGGTATTTAGTGTGGTGCTCCAATCCTTTTTTAGTCTCACTCAATCCTTTTTTTAGTCTCACTCCTAATCTTGGTTTTCGCCCTTTCTAAGAAACGGACAGTTGTCAATGTAAACAAATATATCTGTCATACTGTACAGTTTAACACTCCGATTAACTTAGAAAACAAGACAACACAAAATAAATGTAGAATTTATTGTTGTTTTTATCCATAAATACAGAATTCCACTTTTCTCATTTTTGTGAAAATAACATTTAGATCTAGTGCCAGTTTTTAATGAAGTTGTGTGCCTTCAAGAACGGTTTCTGAGACTGTCTATGTCTAAATGCGAACGATCCGACCTTTTCTACAGTCAATCTAAAATCATTTTTGGAATTTCTGAGGGTCATGTATTGTTTTGAGTTTAAAAATCTTCAATGATAAGCTCTGCTGATTGTGATTAATTATGTCATTTAAACTTTAAAAAAAATTGTGTGTAAGTGACTACAGTTCATTCAACGTCCGCAGCCATCTTAAAAGTCACTGAGAGTTGAGACGTCATTCTGCTCATGCGCTCATTCACTCGCCCATTATGGAAAAATAATGCCGAGTAGCAAGGCGGCCAAAATTGCATAATGACCTAGTCTTGCCATAATGACCATGAAATACCCTAGATTTTGTTACTATATAAAGTAACATAGGTATTGAATATATTTAAACATGATAATGAAAAACATTGAAGCTGACAATTATTGAAATATGCGTTTTGAACGTAAAAACGTTTTCTTATCATAAAAATGGAATACTTTGTTTTGAATTTAATTGGATTACTGCTCGGCATTGCCATCTTATTCTGCATGCTTTCTTGTGGATATCGAGCCCGCTGGTCCTATGGTGCCTGTTAGAGTTCTGGAACGTCATAGCAGCCGTATACGCTCATTCATTTCTCTTTATTTAATAGACATGTACTTTAAAATATATATTGGTCTCTTAACTGTTTAGAAGTAGTCATATTGCCTATAAATTTGCACAATTAAGAGTTTTATTTGCACAATTCCTACATTATTCCAACATTACTATGTTACTGGATACATACGGTGATATTAATGGAATATTATGGAATGCGTAATCTTATACTGTGCACGAGTTTCTCGACAAAAACAAATCCATAGAGAACAATAGAACAAAAACAGATCAGTAAATACTTACAGGCCTGTTAAAAAGTCGGCAAGTGCTTTATCAGACCGCTTTATACAAAAGAGAAGGTAAGAAAATTATTTTAAAACTCATGTTTTCCCTTGTAAACTGTTTCATAAAAGTAAGGGCACATTATAGTTTTCTTTTCAGATTACTTGTGAGAAACTGGTATAATTGATCTTTTTGTACACAAACCTTGTTACGGAGTCGTGATGTTTCTTTTTTCCAGTCAAGGTGTCGATAATTTTGTTCCTCATTTTTTTCATGTGGAGTTGCGTCACCTATCAGAACAAGAGCTTTTTGGGAGTTTTTTGTCCACGTAAGTTCCTCTTGGACTTCCCTCATAACAAGCTCGTAACATTCTGGGAAATCTCCACCTTTGGTTTTCGAGACATTCCTGACAAAGTCACATAGAGTAGTTGAATTTTTTGTGAAATCAATATATTTAGTAACATACATATCAGTATCACAATAGTCACCATGTGCAAATATTGCTATTCGCAAATTTGGTATTTTGCTGTTCAGTTCTTGAACCATATCCGACAGCTCCGAGCGAACTTTTTCCAAACAGTCATACATGGAACCAGTCGTATCAAATGAGAATACTATTTCAAATTGTTCTCCCATTTCTGAAAAAAAATCCGTGTACAACAAAATCAATTTACAATAACACCTGTACCATATCTACATGATTACAAGTATCGTTTAGTTTGTAATAAATATCCAATAGATAAATCACTGTAATTCCTCATCTTTGTTTGTATTTATTTGTTCTACTAGTCTATAGTGATAATATTCGCTCAAACAAATAGCACAATGGTCATTATCCTTTGAAAGACTTTATTATTTCTCTATATAAAATGATTATTATGTTATCATGTTGCAAAAATTGTGAAACCACATACACCGATTTTATAATGTATAATCTACATGCCTCTTAACAACGCTTTGATTTGTGTCGATGCACATGACAGCATATAGAAAAAAAATATGTTTACACTTTTGATATTATTTCTTACTGTCAATCTTTATAAATGGGTGAACAAAATAATGTGAAAATAAATTATTACCTGATCTTGGATTAAATTCGGCACTAAGACATTAATTCTATTTCCATTACGTAGGAACTTTTTTGTGTTTACTAAAACTACGCACTAGCTTTCTGGCTGGTGTCAACGTTTTTATTTTGTTTACTTAGTTTCACGTCAGGGGTTTATGATGTACACGTGATATCATTACGCGCAATGTTGCTAAGCTACAACAAAATTGCATATTCTAAATTGTGGTATAGTATGTTCAGTTATTTCAGTCATAATTGTCAACTTGTTAAAGGTTAGATAATGTTTAACACTATTATGTTTTTAAAGAGAAAAAATCCATAAAGGACGTGAAAATGGCGAAAATGTATATGTTGCATGCTCGGTTTGATTGAACCTGTTCATGGACGGTAAGGGAAAGTGTAATGCCCCCTAGGCATCGGCTTTATCAGAATTCATAAAATGTTAAACTTTTGTATTTAGACACGTCCTAATATGTGATAAGTCTTGATATCTTTCAATTGCATGTACCTTACAAAACTAACTTAATATTAAATTCGTCAAGCTGACTTTTGTTAGTAATCAATAATATGGCTTTAGTGACATTAAAATGACATTTATTTTTATCCAGAACAGCGTTCATGTATTTAAAATCTTTTATGTATGATTTAACGATGAAGTATGCCGGTGTAACTTTGACTCTAACCTCTATCCAGTAACTGTTGCTAGGTTTTCGCGCATGTACTAAAATCTATTTCGCAGCGATCCACTACCCCTGACCTGTAAAGAAAATTTAAATTGGTGAATGAAGAACAGTTGAGTCAGTACTGCAAAAGGCACTTATTACGAGATTGAAATATCAAACGTATGTAGTAGATCCTGAAGTCAATATGCATTCCAAGAGGGATAGATAGATTTTAACCAGTGGAGTATCTTTTAAATATTAATAAAAGTTGGAGCTAATAACTAATAAGTACTTCCTCTTTTAATTACATCTGACGGACTAAGTGGGAGACTCTATGATGGACAGTTCTTTAAACCTGTTGGGGACTGAATTGTTTTAATGTTTGTCTTCTTTCTTACTTCGTCGGGCTCTTGTAGGTGATTTTCTTGTTACTCTGTCTTCCGTAAAGGTATCTTCAAGTTGTACTTTGGAAATAGTCACTAGGTTGTACCTTTTTGTACATATTTACACGATCATTTATGTGTTTTATTTATTTCATCTAATGTAACCATGACCATTGTTAGAATTTCAATTGGCGGGGATTAATTTTATTTACACTTTCATGCCATACAGGAACATATTGGGGCTAAGAGTAAGGTTTGGCGCGCATAAAACTGGTTTAGACTCCCCAGTAGTGTAGTGTAACTACCACTGACCGTTCCAAGGCGTTGTCCACGTGTTTCACATGTCTGTGTTGGTACTTGTTTTGGATGTTTGAAGGTTTTGTGATGTCTACCTTATTAAATTTCGTTAACGGTAGTTATTTTCTCACCCCCTTCTTCCATTTTGTTACCCCTCACCGCCCCCTCACCCTTTTCACCCTTACAACCCTTATTCCTTTGATTCCCATATTGGCCCGTTTTAGTTTTTATTATTTCACACATTTTGTTCCCCTTTCCTACTTTCGCTGCCCTAATGACCACTCCCGGTTTTGGTTTGGTGCCTTCTGGGTGCCCTGCTGTGGTGGCTTTGGTGTATCGGGGCTGCATCCTATGAACGTTGCCTTTGCCTTGTTGATCTTATTTTCCCTTTTTTTGCTACATAAGTAACATACTGGTATAAAACTCCATTAGCAATATTATTACCGACAAATTGACATATTTTATAAGCTCCTTTTCCACTGAAATAGAATAAATAAATGTTCAGCACTTAAAAATATGTAAGGAATACAGAAATGTGACTGTTTCATATGTATGACCTCATTTTTCGCAAAAAATATTTGGATTACTTATCAATGTTCAAAAATGACCTTAAGTTGGGGATATACTTTTCTCCGGTTCGGCCGCTTCCGGTCTCCGGTTTCTTGCCCGAAATTTACTAGAGACCGGCGAATAGTATCATTTTTACTGGCCCGGTCAGGTGCGGACTTTTAATAATTATTTGTTAAAATGGGTTGATCTTTCTAGATGAAAAAGGGTGTTGATATGAGATATATTATTTTTTCGTATATAATGTATTTTGTTTCCTAGTAATTGTTTATTATATTTGGTATTTTTTGTTGTTTTTATTTATTTATTTATTTATTTTTTTAATCAAAGATATAAAAATACATATAAGATAATTATATATAAAAAGTAATATAAAGATATAAAAGTAAAAGCTTATTAATCAAAACTTACGTGATATAAAAATGTACTCTATAATTATGGTACTTAACCACCCTACCTTTTTCAATGTCTTTTTTACGTAAGTACAGAATTTGAAATGTGTATGCACGGACTTATATTGTTTTTTGTTGTTGTTGTTGTTGTATTGCATTGTATTGTTTTGTAATTATTTATTTCGTTACATGGATAATAAATTACCATTAGCACGTCATGTAGCGATTTTTTTATACATTTTGAAAATGATAAAATGCATGTATAAGTTATATTATATGTATGATATGTCATTATTTATAATTACTTTTTGTGCATAATGTTGATGTATATATGCTCTGTGTTGTGATGTAATTGTCAATGAAATTGTAGTAAATTTATAAATTATTGATTATATTATAATTATTAATTATATTTTATGCCGATTTTGCCAAAAATAAGCATTAGTCATCCTTTTTTACATTACCATGTTGTTCATGTTGAGCATAATTGTTTTATTGTAATATCTGTTTTAATATGTTTTTTTCCCTCATAAAATCTAATTTGTAACCTAGAATAATTCCTCAGAATATCATTTCTGAAACGCGAATAACAAATTAAAAAAAAATGTTTCAAAGTTGATTGTGATTATCAATACCATAAAAATGTTTTTAATTATTGTATATGTTTGTTGTTTTTATCGTACATAAATAAAATGAAACATGCTATTATTATTTTTAGAATTGTATGTTTATGTAAAATAATAATTAATCAATTTGAGAGATGATCTGTGTTTATTAATTATTGTAACCAAACTTTGTGACAAAGATATATTTATGAAAAAAAAATCTTATTTATTTGTTACGATATCAAATAAAATATCTACTCCAAAACAGGGAGAGACCGGACAATAAACGTGTGAAACTATTCGCCAGTCTCTATTAAATCCCGGTCAAAATAGACCGGGAGAGACCAGGAATTACCGATAGGTGACCGGCGAATATTACATCCCCTAACGTTGATAAGTTTTCAAACGGGGGTCAATATCTCACGTATAGGTTGGTAATCAAAATTACGCGAAATGGTCAGTTTTCAATGTTGAAAAAAAAAAAGAATCAAAATTCGTCAAAAAAGGATCCAGGTAAATTTTCAACATGGTAAAATATAATGTTACACCGGCATTTAGGATTTTTCATTGGAAATAAACAACACAATTTTAAACGAAATATTAGAAGAAGGGAAATTATGTAGGGGAATAACAGTTGGTCTATTCAAAATGTTTCTAAAATAACGAAGGTAAAATATTTGGCCATTCTAATATTTTATTCGGTTTCATTATCTGTATATTTGAATGCAATTTTTATTATTTGCGCCATCACAACACAACGTATTACAATAAGAGACAAAACAGTATCTTAATATCAGAAAAAAAAGAAAGAAAAAACGTGTTGTTTTGCAATATCTTAATTAATTCAAAAGTTAAACATGATACAGTTTAAACAGCGTGAAATTATAAAGACATTAAAGGGACATCAATTTATAATTTAAATCATATAACAGGAACATGCCACGAATGTGTACACATTCTCTTGGCAGTGCAACATGCATATGAAGTTGAGATAAATTCGAGCTGATGCTGCATGCAAAATTGCCCGAACAGAATTCTGTGACAGACAGACGGAGAAATGAAAGCTGTCGTTAGGAAGCAAACAAAACAGCTTTAAAGTAATGAAACCGGACAGATTATTTTTCTCGCACACATTATTAATACCCTTCAATGAATACATAAATATTGTTAACACTTTGGACAGAATCTTAAGAGAAGCTTAATAGCTATGTTCTGTATCTCGAATGACGCCTTTAAAGTCATGAAACGGTATAACGGAGAAACATTTTTAAACTAGACTGGTACTCAACGCAATGATTTTCGTATCCAGTCACTCAGCTCCAGTCCATGATTTACCACTTGCTTAGTATGCTATAAAAAGAAGCTAACCGACACAGAGCGGCATTTGGCTATTAAATAAGGACATAATATGGATATTATTTAGGTAACATATACCAAGTTTCTTTTACTTTTTGACAATTTATTATTTTTTTTTGCATTTACTTTCTTTTCTGGTTCAAGGAACAATTTTGTTTTATTTATGTTTCATGGTTATTATTTATATAAATGTCTTCTTAGACTTTAAATTTAAAAAAGAACAGTTTTTTTAGATAATAAAAAGAACAGTTTTTTTTAGATAATAATAGTTTATATTTGATATAAAAATCAGCAAGAATAATTGAGTATAGCTTCTCATATCTTTTCAGTGGAATATGCTATTTTGCTATTTCAAAAGTTATGAAATTATTGCCTTTACTGGACTTTGTGATTGTGTGTGAACCTAAAAGCACTCAAATTAGCATTCGCGTTATCAATTTGTAATTTACTCCTCGGCAATGTGAGAAGTAAGCGTAAATTTGTTGTTCAAAAAGAAACAGTTTTATAACCCCTTACTATTTTTGCAATCTTAATTTCCCATATGCCGATAGGAGTCATTTTTGTTGTTACAACCTTTTTGGACCGTTACATAGGTAACATTAATATTTAACAGCAAAAATGAAATAAAAAAAGAAAAAAGAAAGAGAAAAGAAACAGTGTCACAATGAATTATTTGTTTGCGTATTAAAACAACTAACACATAAGTTTAGATAATACTCGTTTAGGTGTTTCTATGGAAAGCCATAGCTGTCTGATATTGTTCTTTTTTAATTTATGTAACCATTTGGATAATATATAAGTTCGCTTCGACTATATATGAATTGAAAACACCTTCTTATTTAACCGGAATCATTATATTAATCCACAATTACAATATATGAAACCATACCGTCAGTGTATGAAACCGAGGTAGCAATATTTAAGTTGATTTTGTCAATATATAATTCCAGTTCTTCAATATATGGTACCAAAGTAGCCATGTATGGGATTAGATATCCTTATATGAAACCAAATTATCAATATATTAATATATTTTTAGATATATGAAACCAATTTATCAATTTATGAAACCAAAGTAGAAATATATAAGTTGGTTATCGCATTATATGATACCAATTCTTCAATATATTGTACCAAAGTAGCCATATATGGAACCAGATGTCCTGATATGAAACCGAATTGTCAATATATTAATTCATTTTTACAATTTATGAAACCAATTTATCAATGTATCGAACCAAAGTAGCATTATATGACTTGATTATTACTTTATATGATACCAGTTCTTCAATATATGGTTCCAAAGTAGCCATATATGGAACCAGATATCCTTATATGAATCCGAATTATGAATATATTAATTCATTTTTTCAATATATAAAATCAAGTCGTCAATGAATGAAACCAAAGTAGAAACATATAAGTTGATTTCACATTATATGGTATCAATTCTTCGATATATAGTACTAAAGTAACCATGTATTGAACCAGATGTCCTTATATGGAACTGAATTATCAATATATTAATTAATTTTTTCAATATATTAAACCATTTAATCAATGTATGATTAAATATTTATTTATACGATTACAAACCTATGCGTTATTTACACAACTTTTGGCCTGTCATAAAGCTGACGCATTGATGAGTTATCTTAATAATGATTAGAACCTAGGAAACTGTAACCTTACCAAGTGATTTAAAAAAAATCAATACAACTCGTGGCTTTCTGAAGGGGTATTATAAGTCAGAAATGGGGGAAAACCTGAAATCAATTCTCAACAATTGAGAATGGAATTTACCCACACATTTTGTAAAATACATGCATTGTACATAGCAGAGGCTATCTGAACAGCTTTCTGTCGTTCAGTCAAAATGTAACAACTAGTTGATACAAGTCAGCTGCTGTTATGTTATGGTTGTTTGGTAAAGAATATGCACAAGGCATTTAGGGGGAAATATACATGTTTTTGTGTTAGGGGAAACTCTATTCGGTTGCAAAATATAGGAAAAAAATACCATATTGCCATATTTGATTATATTTCATTATTATGTTTAACAGAAATAATAACTTAATATTTGACAGGTTGATCAACTTGACTATCATAATTGAATTCGTGTGTATTAACGAAATTATATAGACGTTCACACTGATGAATGGTATATTTGAATTTTTGCACTTGTCATATAATTAAAAGAATATTTGAGTGTCTCGTTAAAGTCAACTTATTTGCTTCATTGTATTCATCTTGTAAATCGGTTTGACTTCCATTTATTTGAAACCCCTGTACAAGTGTCTTATAAAGGCGTTTGATAGTTTGATACTTGTTTTACGTAGGAGAGGGAAAATTTTAACTAGTGCAGAGAATTTTTTTTAACTTTACTTCGTTCGCAAAAAATTGTAATTTAAAATAATGATGGAAAAAT